AGAGCAGAAAGGAAAATAGCGGGGAGGGGGAGGGGATCCAAAATTCCAAGGCAAAATATATCTAGGAGAAGTTGGGTAAATCCACCATTCAGTCTCTGTTACAAAGAGTCTACTCCTCCTTAATCCACAAGTATCAGGAGAAGCACAGTACTGTATCTCAAATTTTCTTTATCACCTTCTTTCAAAACAATCCATATTTGCATAAACGTTACTAGGCAAAGCTTCAGCAATGTGTGTGTGTGTGGAATCTTGGGAAAGGTTCTTGTTTAGCAACAAGAGTAAAACAGCCACCTTCAAAATAAACTAAAATCTGTTGTTTTCGGTGTCTAGTTTCTGCTTTCCCCTCACCCCCTTTCCTAAGTAGATGTTTATCAAATAGTTCCAGTAAATTAAAAAAACCCTTAATATTGATATATAAAGTTCAGTTACCTCTATAATTCACCGGTATATCTTGTTTCAAATAAGTTCATGTTCTGTTGTTTACGTAGAGCAATCACGACTCAGCACCATTTTCCAGCCCCTTCTAGTTTTCCTCCCGAGTTTTGAAGGTTGCCCTAAGGCACCTCCTTTATCTGCTCAGGATCTCCCTCTGTTTAGGACCACCGTTCTCTCCCCATTGGTGATAAATCCCTTTAAGGATCACAAAAACTGGGAGGGAATGGGAGGTCTTTCCAGAGCTGACCGTTCCCTGTCGCTGGCTCTTCCCCTCCCTGCCATACTTTCACTATTTTATTTTAATATTTTTATTGATATTATTTTAATTTTGTTTACACTATATTGATTATTTTGTCTTATTGTTCTTTTTTATTGTATTGTTTTACTTCATATTGTATTGTTTTACTGTATTGTGTCAACTCCCACAGTGGCCTAGGTTGCCAGATGGGTGGTATAAAAATAAAATAAAATAAATAATGTTCCAATAATTTCAGGCTGCTGTTTGGTAAGCCAGTACCGCTGCACGGCGTTGCTTCAGTCCACTTAATGCTGGGTGTTGCCGCCAGAAGGTAGTTTGCAATTCTTTTTCATTAGAGTTGTTTAGTTTATCATCAGTCTTGCATTATCTGCAATTGGTCTGTGTTTAATTATGTGGGAGAAAAGTCTCATCAGCTCATGTGTGTACAGTTTGAATGGCTATGAAGCTATAAAGTATTCGATTCTATAATTATGTAGCTATACTGCACCATCTCTATAATATGCAAGCAACCTGTCACGTCACAGAAAGGTGGCAATTTTTGTTGCCCTCGAAAATTGCCCAAATCTGTGGATCAAATTTGCTCTCAAAAAGCCAAGGGAAGCAGATCCCTTTTACTTCTTTGGTGTGGCAGAACATGTCGAAGTGATTAATTTTCTCCACACTGTTTAGTGTTTTTGAGGCCAGGATATGAGGGACTTCAATTAGCCTTTTATTAACATTTTCTATAAAGAGAAATTTATCAGAAGATCTGACTCTGTTATCTAAACACTACAATATGAGAGAGCTATTCGAAGCTGGCAGTTCTGCAATGGTGCCGTTACTTAATGTGCCACAAGATGGTAGTCTAAAATAGACGGTCTCAAGGTAGAAAAGACTATGGGGGGAGTCCTATTCTGCCATCCCGTTTTGTGTGAGAGAGTGGAATTTTGGCTAAAAGATCCAGACATTCTGATTCTAGACCAAGCACATGATTGGATCCCCAAGAAGTGGCTCATTTTGGTTGTTTCCTAATTATTCCACTTCTGGCTTGCTGAAAATTGCAGCCAGAGGCCATCTGAGCTCACCATTTCAGCTGTAACATCTTTAATACAGAGCCCACATCCAGCACTGAATCAATTAGAATTCAGATCCTGCACCCTTAAAGGACTCTTGGAATAGTGCATAATGGAACTTTTCAAAGCTCTATCCTCCCAGAAATCTCTATCAGGGATCTCTTAAGATGACACAGCTGCAGAAGGACTGCTGTAGGGAATTGTAGGAAACAGGGCTAGGTGAGTTCTGAAATTCAATTTGGAACAATATTAGTTCCAAACAGAATAGACACATTTCAATAAACAGAATTGATGTTACTTGTGATTAAGAAGTCCAACTCATTTCAGGGGGTCTATTCTAGCTGGGATAAATACTGTATTTAGTTCTATGGTGGGGCCACACAGGAGGAAAGAAATGGTATTTAGCACCGCATTCAGTGTGGAGAATCTGAGTAAGAGTTTTTAGCTCTTATGAAGGTAGGCTTGGAATGTGTGCAGGCAATGTGAGAACTAAGCAGAATGGTGGGTTGATCAGTAGGAAATGTCTAGATCATTCATACATGCCCAATAGTGGATAGACTGATGGATTAGGACTCTGGAGAACAGGGTTCAAATCCCTACTTAGCCATGGAAACTCTGTGGGAATGGAACTAGTAAAACCTTAAATAACTCACTTACCTTGAAAACCTCATTACTATCACTTGGTTCCATCTTGGCAGCACATAATTAACTAGAACACCCCATTCTTTCCAGGGCCAACAGAAGAAAAGTAATCCATGCCAATATGGAAGGGGGGATAGTGCATTGGCAGAGCCCCTTGTTTTGCATGTCAGAGGTCTCAGGTTTAAATCCAAGCATAGAAGGATGGAAGGATAGTAGCAGCAGTAAAGCCTTATCTGCCTGAAAGCTTGAAAGATACAGTACTGTCAGGCAAAATGGTCAATATTGAATTAGAAAAATCAAGCAATAGGGTTTCCCATGAGCCATTGTTGTATGCATGCTTCCACAATAATGTAGCTAGCACAAACCAACTCTGGTGCACAGTTTTTGGTACATTTTCCTAACTTTTGAATGTGGGTCTCAGGAGAAATAGTAGAGGGAGAAAGTTACTGGATTTGCCAAGGAAATAATAATGATTTTCAGAGATGCATAAGAAGGGGCCCACCGAGAGGGCTTTCAGGATTTTAGACATTAACAATTAGGGTAATGCTCCACCTCCAAAACAGTCCTTTGAAAAATTAGATTTATGAGACTACAGGTCCCAGAATCCTCCTGCCAGTATGGCCAAGGGGAGCGGAGTACATTTTTTCCAAACTTTACTCTGCACTGCCTGTGATTATCTGTTTCTTTGCATTTTTCTGACATGGTGGACAAAGAATAGTATTCCTCAGTGAAACATAAAGATAGCAGTTTTGAATCTCTCTTATCATAAAATTGACTGGTTTTTATCAAACTTTCTTTTGCTCAATAGCTATTAGGCCTGGATCCTTACATACCTTTTCTTTGAATAGCCTTTTTGCCTGTCATAGAGCATTTTAAGCCAGTATATTGGAGGAACCCCCATTTAATACCTTTGTCTCCTTTGATGCATGTTCTCCCATCATCTTCACGTATATAGCCTTCATGACATTCACATCGATAGCTGCCAGGGGTATTGATACAGAGGTGAGGACATAGAGATGCATTGTTTGTGGTACACTCATCGATATCTGAAACAGAATGTATGTCACAATGGGTTTGAAAAAAGGAAGAAGAGGAGGAGCTACCAGAAGTTAATGTTTTATTCTGGAATCTACTATAGGGTAGTGGATCTCTTGGCACTGGACCTAGAAACAGGACACCTGTTAAATTAAGGAAGTGCACTACCACCAGAATTCAGATTTGGAATTCAGGTTCAGAGTTTGGAATTGGCAGCTCTTCTGATTTGGAATTTTAAAAATTTGGAATTTCTCAATATCTGGATCCAGTCAATATGGATTCCATATATTCTCAATCTTTTTTTAAAAATCACGGTCATAAACACAATATGAAAGAAACATAGGCCAAATCAGGACTGTATAAGTCATATAATGAACCTTATAAAATGGAACGTTTCCAGTCTGTGGACATCTTCAAATATACTAGGGCCCCCTTAAGACTGCTATATAGTTTTTAATACGAATACTACATAGTCATTATTTTCCTTCTTAAAAAACAGGCAAAAGATTTTAAAAGGATTTCTCTTCAACCTTCGGCACCTTTCCAGTGATTGTGCCAAGCAAAAAGAGTGCACACCAACAGCCAGCAGTGCCTGATGATGATGATGATGATGATGATGATGATGATGATGATGATGTGCTATTAAATCAATTCTGAGTTACTGTGACTTTTCAGGTTTTTTTTAGGTACAGAGTATTCAGAGGTGGTTTACCATTCCTTTCTTGTTGGGCACCATCAGACTGTGCAGTTTGCCTAAGGCTACACAGAGATGCACAGTGGGGAACTGAACTCCCAACCTGGGGCTCTGTAGCCACAGACCTAACTCACTGAGCTATCCAGTCCCCAAGTATTAGGAAATGACCGTCATAAGCATACTGATTGAACTCTGAAACACTGGGAATGCCAGCAGGACATACCAGGTCCCATTGGGGAAGGAGCAAATATCCTAGACAGCACTAGAAGGCAGACAGGAGCAGCAGATTGTCTATGGTGGGTGGGAACTGTGCCAAGAGCATGGGGCACAGCACAGTTGAGAGTAAGGACAATCTAGCAGTTGGAAAAATGAAAAGAGACAGAGGACGGGTAGCAGGCTGAAGGACGGCATATCTAGTACTGTGAGCAAAGGGTGCCATTCTCTCTTACTTTAAAGGGACTTCAGGGAAACCCAGCAACGGTAGACTGACCTTAAGGAAAATAAGTTTTTCTACAAGTCCAAGCTGCAGGCATGAGGAGTGGGGACTAACAATTACATATCTGATCTGTGAAGACCAAACGTTGGTATTACCTATCTGTCCACCAACAACATGGTAATACCAACGTTTGGTCTCAGAAGGAAACCATTTGTATGGCACAAATATAAGAGGGGTAACTAACAGATAAGTACTTATTTGCAGGTGCAGTATTTTATGCTGAAATCCCAAGCACACTTCATTTGTATCAGCAAGAATTTCTTGTATACATGTGTAAATGGGATTGTGGGGGTGTCAGAAAACATCACCACACAGAGAGACACTCATTTATCATTGCAGTTCCTTGATATGAGTTTGGCTAACAGTAGCTCGTTAGAGATAATCTACCATAGTTTGTGCCTAAATGAGCATTTGAATCCCTGTCTCCCTGGTCTGCAAGGGAATATACGACCCGTGGCCAAATTCAGAGACCTTTCTCAATATCTTAGTGTGCAGGAGAGGTCTTGGGCTTTATTGGGGGATGTAGCAATACACTGTAGACAACCTCTGACCATGGATCAAACATCTGATTTCTAATCCAGGAATCCAGATGCTTCACAGGTGTACAACAATTCACAGCGCTGCTTCTGATCATGGTATTAATTAATCTGTCTCTCTGTTGTCTCACAGCTGTGAAGCTGATGGAGGAAACATTTCTCAAGCTGAAAAAGGAAAATGCTGCAAAATGCACACCATAAGGAATTAAATCTACTGAATTAAATCTACAACTTTGCCTATTTTTGGCTCTAACTACATCTACTTCTGATACATCTACTTCTGGGCAGACTTCAGTTGGGACAATGTGGACCTCCACAGGAAAAGAATGCACCACCTTTGGTGGATAGGACTACAGCTCCATAGACAATGAATAAAGATATTTGCACAATTTTGTCTGTGCATCTGTGAAACAACAAAACATAATACTAGCACATTTTGGATAAGAACAGGAAATTCCAGAAAGAATAGCTTTCCACGCACCTAAGCAATATGGTTTCTCTCTGTTCCTGTGCCTTTCCCGATCATACCTATAACCAGGGTAGCATGTACATAAGACTCGTCCAAAGTTGTCCGTGCATTGCTGTTCACAAGGAGCATCTGCGCAGACATCATAGTCTAAAGGGGGAGGGAAAAATGTGTTCAATATTAGTAGCTGAAGAATGTTACAAAATAATGGAAAATTTACATTAGTTTCATTCTTCACTTGCTGAGGTCATATTCTAATTACAATAAGAGTAAAAGCAAAAAAGTATTGACCTACCTTTAAGACATTTCTGAAAAGAGAAGCTAAGTTGGTATTTTGAACTTAATCACTACATGGGTATTTCTGTAAAACATTTGTGAGAATAATTTCTATAAAGATAAGTTGATTACAGTAAATACACTAGGCTGGCAATTAATTATAGACAGTTTTGAGATGTGTCTTACATTGTTAGGATGTTATATATAACAGTGTATGCACTGCAAGACTCCAAGTACTATTTCAGAGTAAGTTTGTATTTTTTAACAGGATTCATGGACCATAAAACATAATGCAAGACTAGAGATGAGCAGAGATAGGCAGCTTCTGTTGAAAGCAAAAGTCCTGAATCTCTTTCTCCACTATACAGAGTTTGCTGCAGTGAAATAAAATGGCTTCTACAATACAAATCAGCTGTGAGTTTCCCTGCATTAATTCCAATTTATTGGCTGTTGCCTGAAGGGACATGGATATACTGTGTACTTTGATTTGGATTCCTGCATTGAACAAGGAATTGGACTGAATGGTCTTATAGGCTCCTTCCTGCTCCATTATTTTATGAGTTTATGAACCTTGGAGTATCCTAATGCCACAGTATGAAACATATCAGAGAATAGAGAAGAGGAATCCTTATTGGGGGGGGGTTACAGTGGTGTCTCACTAGACAGTTACCCCACATGACAGTTTTTTCGCCAGACATTGACTTTTTGCGATCGCTATAGTGATTCATAAAACAGTGATTCCTATGGGGGAATTTCGCTGGACAATGTTTGGTCCCTGCTTTGCAAACCGATTTTCACTAGACGACGATTTGCTTTTCACTAGACAATGATTTCGCTAAACAGCAATTTCAGTGGAACGGATTATCATCGTCTAGCAAGGCACGTACTTTCTATGATCACCATGCATATCCAGTAATGTCCACTTCAGGCTATATGGGTTTACTGATTCAAATGAACCAGTGAATTTTGGAGCTATCTTGACAGTGGACAATCTTTAAACCCTCCTTTCCTAGGGTCACATCCAAACAGCTGAGGTTGACTTTCTGCTCATGTGAAAATCATATGCATGCTTTCACCTGCAGACTTCAGCTGAAATGTGAAAGGTCATGTACAGTATGGTCTTAAAACTGCCTAGTTTTTAACATTCTTGGGCAAAGGCTCTTCTTTTGGCCCTCCTGCTTGTTAGAGGCACTGCTCTCAGGGACATAAGAAAGGAATTCACAAGGGCTGTTCCCAGAATTCAGACCTTCCCTGCCAAGGGAGATTGATTTGCTCCCTTTCTGCTATTCTTCTGGCAGCTAAAGGAATATTTTAATTCAGCCAGCCCTTTTGCATGTAAGCTGGTCTGCTACAGAAAAGGGTCAAGACAGTTGGATACTGGCTGTGGTTTTTTTTCTGTTGTATTTTTAACTATACTTTTAATTAGCTGTTCTCAGAACTTTATTTTAATGTATATTTTATTACCATTAGCCACTGCAAGTGCCTTTTTTGGCAGAAAAATGAAGTTTACATTAATTAAATTAAGGAACATTTAAAAAACTTTACCGTGCATTTCCAAAACTGAGTTTAACTTCTCATCCAGGGAGCTAAGAAAAACATGCATTATAGATTTTTTCCCCTGATGCCAGAGGGAATTCAACATACTGGCCAGAATCCTACTGGGTTTTAATTTAAGTAAAATCATATATGTTACACCAAACGGCAGCTAATTCACAAAACACCAGACCTGGTTCTGGTTCCATGACTTGGTTGAACCCACTGAGATTTCCAGTCCCCCCACACATACCAAGGGGGCCGATGACAACATCATGTTGTCATAAACTCCTGATTTTTGGGCTCATGGACCACAAAAATACAGTATAGAATTTATTTATTAATTGAAAAAAAGCATATGTAACAAGAGCCTGAAATTTGGGGAGACTGTTTACATGTCTTCGCACAACAATACTGCAGAAGGTTGGCCTTGCAGGTATACAACAAAATACGACTTTGGGAAACTAAAACGTGCTGTTCCAGTAGATGACAGTTGAACCAAATACTGTAGATAATATCCCTTTGATTCTCAGCTGGCTACAAACACACTCACGGCACATTATGTAACAAAGTCCACAGCCTCTCAGACTTCTAACTGTTTCACAAATCAGTTTTACTAAGCAGATGATTCCGAGTGCTTTGTCAGAGTTTACAACAGAGCCAAGATAGGTGAAGTCACTGATTGAGTTTGCTTGCCTGTTAAGATTTTAATCCATAATTTAATTTCACCCCAATGTATTCTCAAGCCAAAGTCTGGCTGCCAACATTTCCAAGGCTTTGAGCTGGTAGACCAGCACATCTGTAGGCTATAAATCAGCCCGATAAAATCAAGGTAACCCTTTTCATTGACTACAACGGGCTTTGGTTCACAGCAAGAGTGTGTCAAGTTAAGTACATGCATTTGTCTTGGCAGGATAATGCTCTTATTGGTACAAAATCAGCCTTTGATTGCCAAAGCAGAGAATGCGTGGCCCATAAAACATTACTCTTCCACATAACACACGGTAAATGCAAGGCTTTAATATATGATGAATCATGGGCTGAGCTCATCTAACATTTTAAAAAAAAAGGTGAAAAGCAACAACACTACCATAGGTGTTAAAATGCACATTACAGTTGCAATGCGTAACCTACGGCACTCAATGTGTTGTTGAACTGCACTTCCCACCAACCTGTAATCACTGACTAGGGCCTAAATCCTATTGTTTAGCACAGTATTATCTGTTGTATAGGCATCCTTCAGTCTCGAGAGACTATGGTAACATGCTCTGAATAGAGGTCTTGGAACAGCGTCTAGTGTGGCTGAGAAGGCCAATTTGAGAGTGACAATCCCTTCCACACTGAAGACAAAGACAATCTGTTGTCATGTCTTTAAGAAGAAGAAATGTAATTAACAATTGGTTAATGCAGGTGGAGTTATTGTGACAAGAAGGACACAGCCATGTGGAATTAATTACCATGAGGTGAACTACTAATTTGATTGGTTGGAGGTAGTATAAATTAAGAGGCTGTTTTAGTGTGCCCTTCACAGTTCTATTTTGACTGTCATGCTTGTGTTTGACTGCTGAATGCTTATGTTTATGTTCCTGTGAGCACTATGTAAATATGTACAGTAAATAAATATTCTCTGCACTTATTCCTGGTGTCTTCCTGTGCGCCTTACTACGCTGGAACTCTTGGTCCAGACCTTCATAAGGAGAAAATCTTTTGCTGTGACTTTAAAGAGCCTCGTGGCGCAGTGGTTAAACCGCTGTACTGCAGCCAAAACTGTGCTCACGACCCGGGGTTCAATCCCAGGTAGCCGGCTCAAGGTTGACTCAGCCTTCTATCCTTCCGAGGTCGATAAAATGAGTACCCAGCTTGCTGGGGAGGCAATGTGTAGCCTGCATAATTGACTTGTAAACCGCCCAGAGAGTGCTTGAAGCACTATGGGGCGGTATATAAGCAGCACACTTTGCTTTGCTTTAAATGCTAACAGTGGTTATGGGCCCAGCTACTCCCTCTGCGAAGGACCCTTGTTCCAGAGAAGCGTAAGAAGGGATGTGGTTGCTGAACATCTGAGCTGGTGAGCGATCACCTAAAGTATTTAAGAGAGGCTTGAAGATGACCATCCAGTATGGCAGAGACAGCTGTAGTAAGCTACCCTACCCTGTCCCAATGTTGAAAGAAGGGAACTATTTGCTGTGGGCTTATCGAATGGAACTGCATTTAAAAAATGAAAAAAGCACTGGCTATAATTGGGCTCAGTTTGGCAGATGAGCAATTATATCATGTTCGAGGGGAACCCTTGGTTGTCAGATGCTGGAGAAGTTTGCATGAAGTTCATATACAAACTACAGCAAGCTCAAAAGTCCATTTATCTAGAAGGCTGTACAGAACCATTTTGAAAGAAGGAGAAGATATGAAGGAACATCTCAAAACTCTGCAGGAGTTGTTCCAGCAGCTCAATTATGTATTTACAGAAAAGCAAAAGAGCTATTTAATTCTAAGCAGTCTACCTCCTTCATAGGATAATTTAGCGACTTCACTGGAGACTATGCCGGAGTTAACTCCTCAATACCTGGTGGGTGGGTTGATAGAGGAAGCAAGAAGATGAACCGAAAGAGCAGAGGCAGAGTTTTTCCCTGGAAAAGATAGCACAAAGGAGACTACCAGCCAGGAAAGTGGAAAAAACCAAGGAAAAGACAGACTAAATGCTGTAAAAGTTTTTTGAATGTGGAGCTTTAACACACCTTCGTCGTGACTGCAAAGCCAAGCATAGAGAGACAGGCAAACGAGACTCCTCCCAGTCCCAGCTGCGCAGGAGGGGGGGGAGAGAAGCTCTCTGTTGTAAATGTTAGAAACCAGAAGAGGAGAGATCTTTGGATCTTAGACTCTGGTGCTTCTACACATGTATCCTGTAAACTTTTCTTCCATTCACAGGTCTGAGAAAGAGTCAGTGAGTCTTGCTGATGGTAAATCTCTTAAAGCGTCTGGGGAAGGAAATTTTTATATAGAATGCATAGGGAAAACATGTAGAAATGTACTATGCACTCCTAACCTTTCTTATAATCTCTTATCTCTTGCAAATTTAGACAGAGAGAATTATACCATACAGAAAGGAACATGTAAAGTAATGAAGGAAGGAAAGATATGTGCAAAAGGTACTTTGAGAAATGCAGCTGAAGGAAAGGCAGAAAGAGGAGGGGCAATCGGAAAGAAAGCTGGAATTGTATGTTGAAGGATGCTAATTTACCTCAAACGTATTGGGCAGAGGTTGCTCTGACCAGTGTATATATTCTGAACAGAACATTACGAAGTACAACGGGTGAGATACCATTTACGTTGTTATATGGGAGAAAACCAATTTATCTCACTTACATATTTTTGGTGTTACAGCATATTTGCAGATTCCTAGGCAGCAGAGGACAAAAGGCAAACTCAAAGCTAAAAAGTGTAAATTTTTGGGATATGATTCAGGTGCATGAGCATGGAGATTTACAGACAAAGACAAAAGAGTTGTTATATCTAGGAATGCCACGTTCGTAGAGGAACCGAAAGTACAGGAACCTGATGTAGTTTTTCTACCACATACAGAGGAGACTGTAGATAAGAACGCCATGTTTCCAAGGAGACCAGATAGCACTGATGCTAGTTCTTCAGACAGTGGCTCTGAATCTGACTCTGGAAATTTAGAACCTGACCCTGAAAATACTATGAAGCAGGAAGAATAAGACGTTGAAGAAGAGGTAGAAGTTCCTCGTAGGTCCCACGGAGAAAGACGGAAACCTGACAGGTATCAGCTTGTAAATATTTGTCTTGTACAACAGGAACCTTCCTGCTATGAAGACATATTTACCAGGAAAAGAATATTTACATATTGTCTTTACCAGGAAAAGAGAGGGAGGAATGGTTGGAAGCCATAGAGTCAGAGTTAAATTCTATGTAAAGGTTTAAAGTATATAAAGAGAATCGGCTTCTACGAGGGGAATTTTGTTGCCAGAGGTTTAGACATTAATGGCTGTGTGTTGTGTTATTTTGAGGGGACAGCACATTTACACTGTTATACAAACTGTATAACTCACTGCTTTACATTGTAGCCAAGTGTCATTTCTTCAGTGTTGTCACATGAAAAGATATACTAAAATATTTATGAAATGTGAGGGGGTGTACTCATTTCTGTGATTGTATGTATGTATGTATGTATGTATGTATGTATGTATGTATGTATGTATGTATGTATGTATGTATGTATGTATGTATGTATGTATGTATAAAATATTTTTAGCAAAAAAAAACATTGGACACTGTCCAAATTCAACAAGTAAATAATTGACACTGTGTACAAAAAGCACAGAAGAAAGAAACAGTGAATATGATAGCACAAAAGTACTGCAGTGATAAATGAGGCGAAGGAAGATTCATTAATCACATACCTTCCGGGATGCATTGTCCAAGAACAAATTTATATCCCTTGCAGCACTTTTTCCTGAAAGACAAATACAAAAATAAACATATATTGCGGAATCAGAGTCTAATTGTATGCTTATTTTCTTAGATATACTTTCTACTGAATTCCACAGATTTTTCTACAATTAAGTATCAGCTTTGACTGCAAGAGAGGGAATGTTATTGTGAAATGCCCTCCCTCCAAGTAATCCCCATCCCCATGCAAATAAACACAGGACCTGTCCACCCCCCTCTTCTTTTGGGGAGGAAGGTGGTCTAGACATCATCAAACCAAATAGCCGCCTCCAACTGCCCCCTGTCCTTAACCATCGGTGGGCCCCTGTAGCACTCAGAGATACTGAAGTAAATACATGTGGCGTTCAGCTACAAGGCTAGCACATCATTTGAAAATTATGTTTAATTTAATCATTATTAGAAAAATCACAGGTATCTTCAGGGCATTTCTCAGTTGCAGGACACACTGATAGCCAATGGCATCATACTGTTTGCCTCCACCCTAGGGCATGGTGGAGAATTCAAATGGCAGATCCTACTGGCAGATGGTACTCCCAACACTTAACTGAATTGGCATATACAATGTACTCCACAAATCTCGTTATGTCCACTCATGAGAATGGTGGACCTTGTCAAAGTCCTGTGACATTAATATATCTATAGCTATTTAAAGATTCCATCAATAGCAAGAGGAGTTAGGATCCTGTTTCCTTACACAATCACATAATTTTGCCTACAATCATTACCAAAACCAAACAAAAACCACCCCAGAGACAAAAACATTCTGACACCTTAAAGACTATCTACTATGTATATTTCCAGGTAAACTTTCATGGATCAAGTCCCCTTTCTCAGAAGAGAGGTTACATTAAAACATAGAAGCTATTTTTAAGGTGCCACAATGCTTTTGTCTCTTGGGGTGGTTCTTGCTTTGTTTTGGGTTTTGTGTTCTTTGTTTGTTTTTTGTCTGATATGCTTGCACAGATGAACAGCAGCCTCTCATCACATAACTAGTCATGTACTGGTTGTGAAATTGGTCCTTGATGAGCCCCCACCTACCCGGCCTGCTCTCTGTTTGCTTACACAGTCACATACTGTAATTGTGCCTGCAATCTTTACCAAAACCAAATAAAAACCACCCCAAGAGACAAAAACATTCTGAGACCTTAAAGACTATCTACTATGTACATTTCCAGGTAAGCTTTCATGGATCAAGTCCCCTTTCTCAGAAGAGAGGTTATATAAAAACATAGAACCTGTTTTTTAAGGTGCCACAATGCTTTTGTCTCTTGGGGTCGTTCTTGCTTTGTTTTTTGGGGGGGGTCTAATATGCTTGCACAGATGAACACGGCTGCTTCTTCTACAGCAGACCCTCATCAGAAAAAATGGTCATGTACTGGTTGTGAAATTGGTCACCGGCCTGCTCTCTGTTTGCTTACACAGTCACATACTGTAATTGTGCCTGCAATCTTTACCAAAACCAAATAAAAACCACCCCAAGAGACAAAAACATTCTGAGACCTTAAAGACTATCTACTATGTACATTTCCAGGTAAGCTTTCATGGATCAAGTCCCCTTTCTCAGAAGAGAGGTTATATAAAAACATAGAACCTGTTTTTTAAGGTGCCACAATGCTTTTGTCTCTTGGGGTCGTTCTTGCTTTGTTTTTTGGGGGGGGTCTAATATGCTTGCACAGATGAACACGGCTGCTTCTTCTACAGCAGACCCTCATCAGAAAAAATGGTCATGTACTGGTTGTGAAATTGGTCATGCAGCTGATTGCACAAAGGGAGATGTAACAGAGAGAAAAAAACAAGTCAGTGCTCTTAAGACACATGGAATATGTAAACAGGATTTTGACCAGGACATTCTAAGATGTGTGCTCTAAGCAGAGTTTAGAAAGCATTTATGGACAGCCAAGAGAGAAGCCTATGAAATTTAAGGGAAAAAGGATGCTGACTGTAGAAACAGTCTAAAAATAGTTTTGACTACTGAACAGCATAGATAAAAACCAAAGATTTTTTTTAAAAAAAATCAATTTAAATCATGATTTAAAATAAATTAAACATTATTTTAATTTAAATAATAAAAAATCCAATTTTTAACATTTAAATCATAATTTAAATGAATTTGATTTTAAACATATCCCCCCTGCTACTGAAACATACAAAATTCAGCATAATAATTTTATGCTGTAGTTAAAAGAACATATTTATAATAACAGTACGTAACATGTTTTAACCAAAAAAGGGATGAATGTAACATGTGATCATGCTTTTCTGCAAAGAGGTCCCTTCAGATATGAGAAGGACTCTAAGAAATGTGACTTTTTTTCCTTTTATTGAACTCAGTATACAGACATGTTCTGAAATAGGGAAGAAGTCCAAGTGTTTCTAATTCTCTGTAGTTTGAAGCAAGCCATTTTTGTTTTGCATGCCATTTCTAGAAGGACGCAACACAAAAGGAAAACTTTTAAAGTAGATCTTAATGCACCATTTCCAGAACATCTGATAGGCAAAGCACATTTTAAAAAAATTCAAAGCCTCCACAAATCTTGGTTTATACCGCACATTCAAGCCAAACTAAAACTGAACAACGCAGCAACAAAATAGAATGATAAAATACTGCAACAAAATATTGTCACACAAGATGCTTCTCTTCAATGATCTAGCCAGCCAGCCATGCTTTCTTGCAGAACATTTCCATTCCATTATCCTCTTCAGTTTTCTCCTCACCATGTCAATATATCATCTTAAGGCCACTCAGCCTGCTCAGTCTTCACTGAGCTGCTTTTGGGAGCACCACCCTTGTTTTTTCTAAAACATTTCTTTTTTCTGCAAACCTTGGGATCCTCTGTGAAAGGGCTATGCAAATAAATTGTTTCCCAAGAGCCTTGATTTCACTACACAAAAATTACACTCGCTATTAATGTATGAAGAGAAGAGAAATCAAAAGCCATTGGTCTTGTAAAAATGCATGATCCATTCTCCTGTGAAGCCAGGAAATCCTGCTGCTTCTCTGCAGTAAGAGCGACTGATGATTAATGACAATAAGTGCAAAAAGTGCAGAAGAACTATCTATCCCAACAGAGGCTCTGCTGAAGCCAAAATCAGAGCAGGTCTCCTCTGTGACTAGAGTCTTAGGGTTCAAATGGCTTTTATTACCAGGTAACACAATCCTTTATGTATCTATTTAGAAGTAAATCCCACTGAATTTAGGAGGGCTCACCCTTAGGTAAATGGTTATAAAAAGGCAGCCTTAAGCTGTCCACACTTTCTTGGGAATAAGCCTACTTTAACTAAATTGGTATTTACTTCTTAGTAAACAGTATTCTCAAAATTTGCCAGGAGAAACTTTAATATACTTTAGTTGATATAAATCTTGCTTTCCTAGATTAAGGGAGAGTTTAAATGCACTGGTGTTGGTGACCTCTTGCTGATAGACATAAACCCAAAGTAACCTTTGCAGTTAAAGCTCTGATTAAATTACATTTAAAGTGAATGACCTAACTTTTTCATCTCAAACTGTGGTTTTGAGTGATGCAGCTTCCAGAATGGTTTGTTGATGTAGTTACACTAATCAGATGCTAAAGTTAAGACCGGCTTTCACCTTTTTGCTTCTTTGACCATAAGCCTTACAACTTCCATGACGGAGGTATCTAGAATTAAGGATGATATGAAAAAGTGAGTAGACGGGAAAAAGAACAATCTCCTTCTGACACGATACTAGAACCTGGGTTCAAAGACCATGTAAGGCAATGTAGCCTTCCTCAACTGTTCCACTACAATCCTGTGCCAACAATTCAGAGTTTCAGGTTTCCTCTAGAAGTTGGAAACATGTGAACTCACAAAATGACCAGCAGGCTACTTTCCTCAGTTATAAGAATGCCTGATTCAAACCCACAAAAATTCATCAAAATGATGTAAACACACACATGTAAATACATGCATATATATCTCTCTGGTCTAGAGTTTTGGAAAGTTACTGTTTTGAACTAAGACACCCAGAATCCCACACCTTATGTTATGACTGTGTGGATTCTGGGCAGTGTAGTCCCCAAAAAGTGACTTTTCTAAGGTCTGTTTTGATAACACATGAGCTGTTGTTTCAAACATTAAGCTAAGCACAAATTCTCCTTAATGAGCTCATGATATTTGAAGCTGAAATGTGGTGGGAGGTAGGTTTGCCTTGTTTCACACACACTGGTCCTCATTTGATCTCCTCCTAAAGGCTGCTATGAGGTTTTATCTTCAAGAAAAACAAAGGGAAGAATAAGACAGCCCAAAGGTGCACCAGGAAAACTCCTTGCACCTCACTGATAACTGGCAGAACATATCTGCAACATTGTCATATTATTCACATATTCCCTGGCCTAAAAATCAGTATGTCTGATATGATGATGTGCAGTGACCTACACATGAACATGGGAAAGGTTCAGATAATCAGAGACTCAATTTTGAACACCCCTACATGAAGCAGGAAGACTGCCTATAGGGTGCAATTGATTAAACCTATTCTAAATCTGGAAGCAGGTTTTGGCTATCATGAAAAGATTTTAAAAAGTTATCAACATGTTGCTGCTGCTGCTGTATTTTTCTTGCCAGTAGTAGGTGGGATTTTCTGTCTGAAATGCCAAACCAACTTTATTGGCCCTTGGGTATTATATACCCCAATTTTCACTTTCATCTGGAGACATTGTCACATGGTTTTCAAATTCTTTGTCAAGTTTTTGTACCCTGCTGAGACAGCTTAGCTTGATGAGAATAAGAAATTTAATGGGTATTCTTTCCATCTCTCATTATCCAATTAGTTAGACTCTGAAATGATTAAGTTGGGGGGGGGGTTCCAACAGATCCTGGCATGTTGTAATGATGAATCATATTACTCACTTTTCATGACAATTCCCCAAACTAGTAAGGTCTTCTAGGGGATAGACCGTCAGACTAGGACTAGGGGGATCTGGGTTCAAATCACCGCTGACCCATGAAAATTCACTGTGCAGTAGCAATGGTAAGCTACATTTT